TCCATGGGATTTTCAAGGCAACGGTGCTGGAGTGGGTTGCTATTCCCCAGGGGATCTTCCCGACCCAGGGATCAAACCCGAGTCTCCCACGTTGTAGGCAGACACTTTATTGTCTGAGCCACCAGGGAAGTCACTTGTCCGATACAAAGTTGTTAGAGGATCAGTGGGATGTGGTGGCTGTCAACCGGGGGCACCTCAGGTGGGCTCATAACCCTCGGGGCTCTGCGCCCTTCTGGCGCCTGGCCCTCTAATCCTGGAGCTCCTTGCAGCCACTGGGCCAGGGCTGTCCCTGCTGAGCCCTGGCACAGATGAATTTAATGTCAGATTTTGCCAGAAGGTGTTGGCCTTCACACACCTGGAGTCTTTGAGGTCGTAAATGAGAGTAGAGGAAAAAATCAGATCCTAGAACAAAAACTCAAGAGATTCTGTTTTCTAATTTTATACGAATGTTATTGAGCTATAAAATGTGTTCTGGTGGCCATTTGAGAAACGGCAGAGAGGCTTATAAAGAGAAGCCTTCTAATAGCAACTACACTCTGATAAAGAGAATTTTTTTTTTTAATAAGGCCTTCTGGTGCAGGCCCTGGAGGTGACCAGTGCCCGTTTCTTGTCACATCACACTGTCACTCAGACCTCTTTGTGGGTCCGACCCGCATCTACCTCAGCCAGTTAGCGCTTGTCTCGTGTCCACGGACAGTCTCCCAGAGGCTGCTAAGCTGCCGCCCTCCATTGAACGTATCCCCTTAGACGTAGTGGTGGTGCTTGTGTCACTGGCAGAACTTTTCCCGAAGTGCTTTAGAGGGAAGAATTTTAATAAAATTCCATCAATTATGAAAATTAACTTTTGAATAGGTTGATCTTTTGTTGTGTGCGTGTAGACAGTTTCACAAGTTTTGTGAAAGGAGAAGGAAAGTCAGAACCACCCCTGGTCCTGAGCACTTGAGCAGTCATTCTGGCCCTCACGTCACCCCTGTGCCTATGATGTCAAGCTGCTGGGTTCCATCCTGCTGCATCTTGCCGCATCCTGCCGGCGTACCAACACCAGTAGAACATGCTGGGTCATTGGTAGAAACGAGATCCTTCCTCAGCTCCTGTTTTGCATCTGAGGGACTCCTTGTGAACACTGTTGTCACACCTCCAGCCGCTTCACAAACTTCTTTCTCCAGGTGGAGGTGCCTCACCCAACTCTGCTGACCACCCCCCCCACCCCACCCCCGGCCCATGGCAAACATTTACTTCGTTTCCAGTTTGTTTGCTGCTGTCAGCAATAATGTAATAAACCTCAGTGTAACAATCCATCTTACTGCGCTTGTGCTTTTTAAATTTTTGTGGCGTAGAGTTGCTGTATTTTAATACATGTCAGATAGCTTTTCCCCAAAGCGTAGCAATTCAAGTATTTTAAACTTAATTTTGAAGTAACTGCAGGTCCTTTGAAAACTTTTGAAACTTTCAAAATTAGTACCACAGTGATTCTAGGACTGGGGCAGGAAATGTTCAAGATGAATTCAGAGCATCTTGTGCTGGAACGTAAGGACCTGCTGAAACCAAAACCTCACTGATGGGGCAGGTGAAGGGGCATGGGAGCCAAGGGGGAAGATCCCCCCAGTGGCCACAGCTGAAAGCAATTTGAGCAACAATAAATAGCATAATACTGGGTTACACCCAAGGGGTAAAATAAATGAATCTGTGCTGATGGAAATGACCTATGGTGGGAAGAGACATACCTGCACAGACTTCCAGATAATTTCTGTAAATACTCTGCCTCCAAGGAGGCGAAACACCACCACCACTACCACCATTCCTCTGATACAGGCTGCAAAGACACTCCCAAAGTACAGTGTGAAAAGTGGGGGAAGGTAGCTTTCCAGTGGAGAAAGTGAAGCTGTGTCAGCCAGGTGATCAAGGTCAACATCACAGTAGTGGATCATGTGGGCAGCGTGCGCCTTTGATAGGCGATTAGAATGTTACTTTACCCCTGGGCTCTTTCTCCCTAAAACGCATACTCTCGATCTAATAGAAGATAGCCACCAGAAAAATTCCAGCTGAGGGATGTTCTGCAAAAGACCTGACTACAGGTTCTTAGAACTGTCAAGTTTCAAAAAAAGGAAGCCTAAGAAGCCATCAACCAAAAGAAGCCAATGAGGTCCTAGGACAGAGAAGACACTAGGTAAAAATTCAGGAAGTCTGAAGAGTGCATGGGTTTGATAATACTGTGCCCATACTGGCTTTCTAAACTGTGACAAACAGGCCACACTAAAGTATTCATAGGGGAAAGTGGGTATAGGGTATATGGGAACTCTGTCCTCTTTACAACTTTCCATGAATCTCCAAAATTTTACTTTTTAAAAGTACAAAGAATTTTCACCTGCTCTTCACGGAGGTTCGCCGTGACATCCTGCATTGACTTCGCCCCCTATATATTTATATATGTCTGTCCCCATACCAGCACATTCTCTTAACCACAGTCCAGTTACCAAAGTTCAGAAGTTAACATTGAGACAACGCTTTTCTCTTGGACTTAATCAGATTTTCATTAATGATCACATTAGGGTCCCTGAATACAAAAGAAAGTAAGTCCTGGCCAATGACTCAGTCCAAACCTAACGTGCTGCATTTCCACTGTCTGGTTTGAAGCTCACAGGACAGTTATTTGGCAGTGTGCCTGTGCTTACTTGCTTCAGTTGTGGCTGACTCCGCGGCCCCCTGGACTGTGGCCCACCAGACTCCTGTCCATGGGATTCCCCAGCAAGAATACTGGAGTGGGTGGCCATGCCCTCCTCCAGGGGATCTTCCTGGCCCAGGGATGGAAACGGTCTCCTGCCTTACAGGCAAATCCTTTACCCACTGAGCCACCTGGGGAGCCTGGTTATTTTGCAGAATGCTTCTTGATCAGGGTTTGTGGCCTGATGTTTCTTTGTGGTTACATGTAAGCTATTTTTGAAAGAACTTCCTTGAAATGAGGTGCCCTTCTTGGTATATCCTATCAGGAGGTATGTAGGCAATCTGTTCTGTTTCTGGTGATGACTAATTCCTCAGTTAAGGTGTCTGTCAGATTTCGCCTCTGTAAAGTTACTACTTTCCCCTTGTAGTAATTTTGTTACAGCATGTCATTCTATTGTGCTTCACTTTATTGTGCTTTGCAGAGACTGCATTTGTTGTTGTTGTTGTTACAAATTGAAGGTTTGTGGCAACCTGTTTTCAGATGATGGTTAGCATTTTTTTTCAATAAAGTTTTTTTAAATTAAGGTATGCACATTTTTTCTTCAGACATAATACTGTTGCACACAATAGACTACAATAATGTAACACAACTTTTACATACACTGGGAAACCAAACAAAATTTGTGTGACTCACTTTATTGCAATATTTGCTTTACTGAGGTGGTCTGGAACCAAACCCGCACTATGTCTGAGGTCTGCCTCCCACTGCATAGAGGTCCTCTGAGCATATACATATCCGGGTTCTCATCGGGTTCAGGCAACAGGAACGGCAAGTGCAAAGGTCCTGAGGCAGGCAGGTGTCTGATGTGTTTGGGGAACATAAAGACAGAGTGTCTCAAGGAGTGAAGGCATAGGAAGAGTAGAAGGAAATGAGGTTAAACAGGTAACAATGGGCCAAAAGGACCTTGGGCCCAAGGTAAGATGTTTGAGTTTTAAGTATGACAGGAAGCCACTGGTCCAGCATCTCACACTCTTTGTTCACTTTTCCCACCTCACTGACCTCTCACTGCCTGAAAATAGCAAGCTCTCCTGCCTTAGGGTCTTTGCTCATGATTCCCCCACTCCCCACCCCCACACACACACCTGGAACATTCTATCCTCTATCTGCATTTCTGGCTCCTCTTACAGGTTTCAGTTTCAACATGACCTCCTCAGAGAGGCCCTTCCTGTGTGTTCACTCATTCATTCAACAAATATTTATGTACTGACACTAGCAAGTCGCCTTGAGGCACTGAGAATGCAGCAATAGAAACAAAACTTAGATAGGCCCTGCCCTCATGGGGTTCACAGTCTAGTCAGGAGGGAGACAGCAAGTAAGGCAGTAAATGCTAAGGCAAAAGTATGTGCATAGAATGGGAACAGGAGATGCTCAGGATGTCGCTTTTCATGCAGAAGGAGGTATCTGAGGAAACACTTTGCAGGAGGTGAAGGATCTCTGAGGGAGGAGGTTCCAGACAGAGGGAACAGCCAGTGCAAAGGCCCTGAGGTAGAATTGTGCCTGATGTGGGTGAGGCTGAGCCAGGAAGCCAGTGTGATGGGAGAGGAATGAGGGGGATAGGAGATGGGCTCGAAGCTATGTTTGGGGGTGGGAAGATAATATAGGGCCTCTTGGACTTTCAACTTGAGGGCTATGGGAGCCCACAATGTTTTGAACAGAGGCAGAGCATGATGTGATGTATTAGGGGTCACAGCATCATTTCTGGCTGCACAATGGGTGGCAATTGTGGACGGTGACTACAGGAAAAGCAGTGAAGAGGTCACTGCACTAACCCAGACTGATTGTCAGTGACTCGTGAGGATCAGCTCCCCTGGAAGCTGTGGGTTTGGTAAAGGCAACGACCACGGGCTCACCCCTGAATACCCACCACAGGGGACAGAGGCCTTCTATCAATGTTTGTTACATGATTTTATAGCTCCCATGCCTTGAGCTTTTAAGGTTTTAATCCCTGTGCTGGACATTTAACAATCTTACAAATTCCTCAGGACCACTGTGTCGGGTAAGTTTTGAAATCCCTACTCTATCGCTGAGGAGAGTGAGGCTCACAGGGCTGGCTTTTGATCATATAGTAAGTAGCAGAAAGAGGGTTTGAGCCATCTGCCTGACCTAGAGAGTCTGGATGGGGCAAAGCCAGCCTGTGTAGCATTTCATCTTTGCCTCTGCACCTGCCCAGGTGAAGCGTGCTCAGCACGCATGCGCCCACGCGCATTTAAAGCACCTGTCGCGGGTCCTCCACTCCAGCAGGAAGAGGCAGGCGCTCGGCTTGACGCCAGCCCAAAGGATGCTGGTGAGATACAGGAGCCAGGTTCCCGCCTCTCAGCTTGGGCCTCTCCAGGCTCTTGACCCCAGCCCCTCTCCCTTGCAGAGTCCAAACGCGTCCCTTGACCCAGAGCCTCGGAGCACCTCAATCCCTGACGGCATCCCAGGGGGCAGGAGCATCTCCCCAGGATGCCCGGAGAGGCCCCTGGGGCCTTGCGCGCCGCCAGGGCTGGAGGAGGCTCTGAGCGCTCTGGGGCTGGAGGGAGAACGTGAGTACGCCGGGGACATCTTCACCGAAGTCATGGTGAGTGGGGTTGGGGTGGGGTGGGGGGAACACTAGTGGACCAGGGGGCTTTGGGCAACTCTAGCGCCGCCCACATCCCTAGAGGGCAGCAGAGGCGACGTTCGGGTTGGAGGAAGCCAAAGTTGACTCGCAGCACCCACTCAACACGTCTTCCCTAACTCCCACCTCAGCAGCCTCTCCCGTCACTTCCCACTGACTTTGCAGCCTTTGCACCGCTGCCACCCACAACTTCTTGGCCTTTTTCTCTTGCACTGTACCTGTGTGGAATGCCCTTTCCCAGCCTCCCCAGCTGTTTGCAGCCCCTCCCTTTGGTACTGCATAATCCCTCACATTGACCCACTTATCAATTATTCAGTGAGTTATTAACAAATGTTTCTGAGCATGTTCTAGGCACTGGGGATACTGTGATGGACAACACAAGACAGTCTGCCTCAATGAGCGGAGACAAACAAGCAAATGTAGGCGATAATTTCAGAAGGGCCACAAAAACCAAAGCGCAGGCTATCGTTGTCCACAGATACTGTCTGAGACAGGCATTGCCAGAAGAAATACTGAAGGGATGCGGTTTATTTAACATCTTGTGAGCATCTCTCCCACCCCAGGGTCTCTGTTAGGAACCAAGATATAGCTGTGATCTGGACAGAAATCCCTGCCCAGCTGGCAGTCTAGTGGGGCAAAAAGACAAAACTTTGAAGTAAACACCAGATATCTCCAGGCTGAAAATACCATGAGGAAAATAAAGCAATAAGATAGAGATGATAGGGTGCATGGAAAAGTATATAAAAACTTGGGGAAATTTTAGCTGAGACTGGAAGGACTGAGAAGTCAGAAATGCAAGGAGTGGGGAGTGACCATTTCAGCTGGTACATAAGTGCAAAGGCCCTGAGGTAGGAATGAGGCTGGCAGAGTCCAGGACCAAAAGAAGTAGCTTAAGTGTGGGTTTTGGGGGGGAGAGAGGGGACAGGTGATGCTGGAGCAGGGCCGGAGTCAGGGCAATTAGGATTTTCTCTTAAGGGTACTGAAAGCCACGAAGGGTTTTAAGCTGGGGAGTTCCTTGGTCAGATTTATACTTTAGAAAGACCCTCTGGGTGCTCTGATGATGGGTTGAGGGTTGGTGACTAAGATTGGAGTCTGGGAACCCAGCAGAAGATGCCCAGTAATGAAGTCCTGTGGCCTTGGGGGCTAGACTGGAGAGCTGGAAAGTGAGGCGTCCAGAACGAAGTCCAGGGTTCTAGATGGGGACACGCAAGAGGAGTGTATTCGGGGGAGACGTTAGAGGCCAGTTTGTATGTGGCACTCGTGACGTCCAACTGATGCGAGGAGAGTAGAGCACCCAGGGCTGGAGCCCGGGAGGGGCGCCAAGGCACAGGTGTGGAGACTGAGGCCGTCCTTGCCTGACCGCAGGTGTGCCGCGCGTTGCCCCCGAGGGCCCTGCCCCGCACCGTGACCCCGGAGATGCGCGCGCTAGTGGTGGATTGGCTGGTTCAGGTGCACGTACGTAACCGGGAGGGGGCAGGGAGGGGCCTGCGTAGCGGTCTAGAACCTTAGTGCTCACTCGCGCCCCTCCCCAGGAGTACCTGTGTCTGGCGGGGGACACGCTCTACCTGGCCGTGCACCTGCTTGATTCCTACTTGCGCGCGGGCCGAGTGCGCCTACACAGCCTGCAGCTGCTGGGCATGGCCTGCCTGTTCGTGGCGTGCAAAGTGGAAGAGTGCGTGCTTCCCGAGGTACTTCCGGGGCGGGGCTTGGGAGGGTGAAGCCCTTCCTCCCCACCTCACAGATTAAACACCTGGTGTGTGCCAAGCAAGCTCTTTACCTAGTCTCAGAATCCCAGCATGTCTCTATGTGGTAGAGGCTACCAATGTGTCCTTTTAACAGAGGAAGAGACTGAGGCCCAGAGCGAGGAAGATATTTGCCAGAAGACAAGCATTTGGGACTTGGACTCAGTCTTGAGTAGTTAGTAGCTATAGTCCTTCTTGAGTGTATTTAACATGCATAAACTCAGTGACTTATCAGAACTGCCTGGTGAAACAGGAAGTCATATCTCCGGTTTTATGTGAAGACACTGAATCTCAGAGAGCTTCAGTGGATGTCCATGTCAGACAGTGAGCAAACGGTAGGGTTTGAGGTCAGGAACCCAAGTCTATCTGGCTGTGAAGCCTCTGCTTTCCGTGACTTCCAGACAGCAAATCAATGGCCCCATTTTACAGACCAGAAACTGAGGCCCAGAACGGGGACTGAAACGATCCCAGGCGCTCAAGTTCAGGGATTAACGAGCTAGGGTCCAAGATTTCCCCACCACAGCCCTCCTCCCTCTGTCTCCTGGGCGCTGGCTCCTTCTCGCGGGCCGAGCTTCTGCGCGCGGAGCGCCGCATCTTGAGCCGCTTGGATTTCCGGCTGCACCATCCGGGCCCGCTACTTTGCCTCGGGTTGCTTGCTGCGCTGGCCCGGAGCGGCCCCCAGGTGCACGGGGTAGGACGGAGCGGCCTCGTGGGTAGGGGCGTGGCGTGGCTTGTGCGGGTGGGCGTGGCCTCGCGGGTAGGGGCGTGGTCTCGCGGGTAGGGGCGTGGCCTCGCGGGTAGGGCGTGGCTTGTGCGGGCGGGCGTGGTCTCGCGGGTAGGGGCGTGCCCTGACACGCTCCCCGCGGAAACTGCAGGTGTTGCTTCTCGCCACTTACTTCTTGGAGCTGTCTCTGCTAGAGGCCGAAGCCGCAGGGTGGGAGCCGGGTCGCCGTGCAGCTGCGGCGCTGGGCCTGGCTCACCGGTTGCTCGACGGAGCGGGTTCCGGGCCTGAGCCGGCGCTTTACAGGTATGGCCGCTGTGGAGGGTCTCTGTGGCTGCAGGGCCTACCTTCTTTGTCGCCGTCTTTACGGTCTCAGAGAATATGAGACAGTTGTGTGGGGGCGGGGCTAGACTTGTTTCCTGAGTGCGAGAGAGAATGGGGTGACTGCCTAGTCTGGGTGGTATTTGCTTTTCTCTGGAGGTGTCTCAGAGAATGGGGTGTTTGTACAGATTTGGGGGCCCTGAACCTTGTCCTAGGGTGAAAAATAGGATTTCCTCAGGCCCAGAAGATTCTCTAAGTGCGTTCCAGAGTTGCGAATGAGGGGTCTGCAAGCCTCCAGTTCCCCAACTCTCCTCCTGGCCGCGAATGGGATTACCCTTTAGCTGCTCGAACCCCTCATCTTGTTAACCGTGCCACCGCGGGGCAGAGTGATCATCTTTTCCTCCAGCTCATGTCCCTGGGGTGGAGCTGGATGTCTGTCTGTCCACCCTCAGCCCCACTCCTTCCCTCTCCGCGGGTCCTGGCTCTCCCATAGCGGCGCCCTGAGGGCAGAACAGAGGGTCCGCCCCTCGGCGCCCCTCCAGTCGCTCTAGAGGATGAGTGGCGTGTCCGACCCCGAGAGAGCCCCTGAGCAGCCCCGGGGACCCAAGTCAGCTTATCTTCTCAGCCTCGAGCCCCAAGTTCCGAGGACAGGTCGTGTCCTGTCCCCCGCTATTCTTGCCCCACCTCCGTTTCTGTCTCTCCACCGCAGCCGAGCGGAGCTGGGCCCGCTCGAGCGGTGCATGGTCCGCGCTGCGCTCCGAGGCCCCGCGCCCGGCCGCGCCGCTGTCTTTCTCAAGTACGCGCGGCCCCAGCGCCAGGGCACCAGCCTCGCCGCCGCCTACCTGCTCCGCCACTCCCTACCGGGGCCTCCCTGAGCCCGGAGACCCCAGCAAAAAAAGACTCTCTCCTTGTGCGTCGGTTTCCCACTTCAATAAAAAAAGTTTTTATTCCGAGCGCTCTCTATCCTCAGTGGTCAAATTCTGGCCCTTCTCTCGTTTTTGATTGGTTATTTCCCGGCCCTCCCACTTACCTGATTGGATGTTCTCACCGAGGCCTTTAATGGCTGCTGGGAGACGAGATGAGAATTCTGAATTACGCCGCCAGGGGGCACTGGCGGGCTTTCACAAGCGCTGCTGGGCTGGGAAAAACGCGAATCTCAAACGCAAATACTTGCGGGAGTTAGAGACGCTGAGAAGAAGATAGCAACGCGGGCTAATGAACCTCGGTCTCCGGGTTGAGGAGAAGCTAGGAAGAAGGGCGACTGTGAGAAACTGAGAATGCCTATCCTAGTCATGAAGAATGTCACCTTCATGGTGCCAGGTTTTCAGATTTCGTTCGTAAGGGAAGTTGAAAATCTGCGATTCCATAAATATCTCTGCTTTTATATGTTGGCAACTAATTCAGTATTTTTAACGGTTGCACAAATCCAACACATCACATATACTGGCCTGCGAGGGTCATCAGTTTGTGATCGTATGGGCCTTGGATAGCAAGAGTTTGTTAAATGGGGTCTGGTTTATTTAACCTCTGAAGTGCCACGGTGTCAGTGGGTATAATTATAGTACCGACCTCATAGTGGTGTGATGAGGCCGTGAGTTAACAAAAACGTAAAGCTTTAGGACCGTGCCTGACACCTCGGAGGTACTGTGAAAGTACTAGCACTGCATCCTAGTAGAACTGTGAGCTAGTACAGTTGTCCCCTCTTTCTATTGAGCCAGTAGCACTCAGACATTAGTAGGTTTGCTCAGAAAATAATTGTTAGGAATCAGTGGGTTTCTACGTTTTTAATTAAAAACACACCCGAGGTGCAGAAAGGTGACTGATGCTGTTCTGGAAATCAGTCTCGGGAATATTAGACTCTTAACCAAGCCTAGGTTTGGAGGTGCTGAGAGGAGGAAGTTTTTACCACTGAGGTGTTCAAGTTTGGAGGATCAGGGAGAGACTCAGTACAATAAAATATAGAAATTCAGTTGGAATGAGAAGTTGTTATGTTCAGGTTTGGGTCTGTTGGGTGGGAACTGCCGTGGGAAGGGAAGGGGACAGTGGAAATGCAGGGTTGGTGTTTAGGAATGAGACCCAGGCTAGGGTCTTGGTGGGGGTGGTAATGGTGCTATACATAGTGCTATAATGGTGCTATACATACTCATTCATTCCACAACTATTGGTGAATATGCCAGGACTTCCGTGGTGCTCCAGTGGTTAAGAATCCACCTTACAATGCAGGCAATGCCAAGTTGACTCCTGGTTGGGGAACTAAGATCCCTCATGCCTCAAAGCAACTATGCCCACACACTGCAACTAGAGAGCCCATGCGCCATAAGGAAATATCCTGCATGCTGCAACTAAGACCCGGTGGAGCCAAATGACATAAGTGAAACTAGTTTATGTGGACGTTGACTCGGAGTCAGGCACTTACAATCACATATCTCACAAATGTCTCAAAAATGATAAGGAACACTGGCTGCTATCTGGTCATTACTGTACTACATGCTCTACCCCGTGCTACATGCTTTACCTACATAACATGATTCAGCTCCTACAGCTCCTTGGGAGTCAGCTCACTTGTTACCTGCATGTTACGCAGAAGGAAAGTGGAGGAAGACCGAGGAGCTTGGTCAAGGTCTCAGCCCCGAGTAAGCGGCTCAGGAGGGCTGAGGGACACTCACTCACTCTGGTCTTCTCTCGAAAATCTCTCATGTGTTTCTTTCTCTGTGCATTTTTTTTATTACTGTGATCCTCATGCTGCACTGTCACATGACTGCTTTCTCACTGCTTTTTCTACCCAGACAGTGAGCTAGATGCGGGCAGGAAACAGATCTCTCTTGTCCATCGAGTTCTCCCCTCCTTCGGGAAGTCTTCACTCACCATCTCAGCCTATGCCGGGTGCCTCCTGTGGGCCCTCAGAGCTTGTTGTGTTTCCCCCATTACAGCCCTGGCCCCTCTGTCTCTACCTCCCAGGCTGGCCCACTCTGGGCTGCCACTGTCTGATCACCTGTCAGTCTCCGCAGTTGCCTAGGAACCCAGTGAGGGTAGAATCTGAGGTGCATCACCCAGTCCCAGAATTGGGCACAGAAAGATATCAGTCAATATTTGTTTGTTGAATAGATAGACGAGTGTGTTCCACAGTTGCTATTATAGTCCTGTGTTACTGATGAGGATACAGAATCACAGATAATTTAGGTGATTTGTCCAAGTCAACAACTAGTGAGAAAATAAGCAGGAATTTGAATCTGGGCAGCTTGAATCCATGGCCTATGTTCTTACCCAGCTATGCCAGATGCCTACCGGTCTGAAAACCAGCTTTCCACGAGGCTATCTTCCTGCTCTTTTCCCCAGACTTGTTCTTTCCTTCTAGAAAGGTGCGGGAGCTTTGGGCATAAGGGAGGCGAGCAGGCAGCAGAGTGGGGAAGGTAAGAGGAGTGGGAAGAAGGGTATTGAAGAGAGTGGGGTTTTGAGGGGTTTCTCTAGACCCATAGGGGGCAGCCGGAGTCGGCTGTCGGAGGTGCGGGGGCGGAGAAAGGGTGGGGACCAGCCCCGCGGGGGGCGATGCGGTAGCTGCAGCGGCGGCCGCAGGAGTTTCCCACAATGCAGCGCGGCGCGCTGTCCCCGGTGCTGATGCTCAGCGCTGCCCCGGAGCCTCCGCCGCGCCCGCCTCCCGCCCTTTCCCCGCCGGGCCCCAGCCCCCGCCATGGGTCGGCTCGGTCCAGTCCTACCCCAGAGGCTTCGGGAGCCCTGGGTGCGGCGCTCGACAGCAGCCTGCGGGCCGCCGTGGCGTTTAAGGCTGAGGGTCAGCGCTGCTACCGGGAGAAGAAGTTCCGGGAAGCCATCGGCAAGTATCATCGAGCGCTGCTGCAGCTGAAGGCGGCGCAGGGAGCCCGCCCGGGAGGCCTGCCCGCCCCCACCCCCGGGCCCGCCACCAGCCCCGGGCCAGCCCGCCTCAGCGAGGAGCAGCGGCGCCTGGTGGAGAACACAGAGGTGGAATGTTACGACTCCCTCACGGGTACGGCCGTCGGGGAGCGCAGAGGATGCCTATGTGAAAGGCGCGGGACGTGAGAGGCACTCCTCAAGCCTTGGGGTGGGGGCTGGAGGCTCGAAGGGTGGGGTCTGTGAGGTGGGGGGAAGAACTGAAAACTTGATCAGGGAGAGGCGTTGGGAGTCTAGGGGGCCACAGGGATGGAAGGAGCTGGGATGCGGGAAATGGGCTTTGGGCTGCCACCTGCGAATCTCAGGTGATAAAAACTTACCCTGGAGGAGCCATTCAAGGACCCATCCCTCACCACCTCTGAGATCGCCCTTAGTACTCTCCCTAACAGACACCTCTCGGCTAAGCAAGCTCCGAGAGCCCCGCTCTGTGTTTTTCGCGCCCTCTAGCGGCGGCGCAGATTGATTCTGTCTTGATTGGTCAGAAGCTTGGCGTTCCCCGGTGGCCCGAGCAAGCCTGTAGGCTGCGCTCCGCCGTCTGAAAGGGAAGGGATTGATTCTCTGGAGCCTGAAGGCCAGGCTCCTCGAGATCGGCTGAGGCCTCGGTGTCGACAGGCTATGAGAGCACCGGTCCTGCCTCCCGCAGCCTGCCTCCTGCAGTCGGAGCTGGTGAACTATGAGCGGGTGCGCGAGTACTGTCTCAAGGTGCTGGAGAAGCAGCAGGGCAATTTCAAGGCTACCTACCGCGCCGGCATTGCCTTCTACCACCTGGGCGACTATGCACGCGCCTTGCGCTACCTGCAGGAGGCCCGCAGCCGGGAGCCCACAGGTGAGGGGCCGGGTGGGAGCAAGCGAGGGTGGGAGAGAGGAGGAAACAAGGCAAGGAGTCTGAGGGCAGAGCGGCTTCAGGGAGTGCTGTACCCCCTACCCCACGTCCACTCTCTTCCCATCTACTCCTTACACATACACACTCATCCACTCACCTGCAGTCATTCGTGTCCACTCACCTGTCGTTCCTGACATTCACCCAACCACCTCTCTTGGGTCATTAACCCACCCTGATAACCTTCTATTCACCTATTCAGCCACTTTCCTGGCCACTCACAACCTCCCCGCCCCACCCCTGCCAGCAATCTCCATTTACCCCTCCCCACTCAAGCTCATTCACCTACTCACTAACCCATTCACACACTCACCTATTCATTCACCTTTCCTGGCAATGCCAGAGAAGTAGCAGGGGGAGGTGTTGGCAGACCTGGAGGCTTGTTCCTTGCCCTGTGGGAAATCATAGTGTGTGTGTGTGTGTGTGTGTGTGTGTGTGCGCGTGCGTGCAGTGCCAGAAAATTAGCAGGTTGGCAGACCTGGAGGCTTATTCCTTGCTGGTGGGAGATCATAGGTGGTGTGTGTGTGTCTGTGTGTGTGCACATGGGTGGAGGAGACAGAAGACTCAGTTCTGTATTAATCATCAATGAAGGAGGAGCACAACAGGTGTATGGCCCAGGGTGTGAAATGAGTTTTCCTGCTAAGGGGTTTGGAGAGAACACACTTCCTGCAGTGTCACTGGAGGGTGAGAAGTGCGACAGGAGTCTCTGAGCTCAGGCGTGCCTGGGCGAGGGCACAGTAGATATGAAAGTATGGAGGTGTGACACATCCTGCTCTGCCTGCTTGGCTGGGCTTTGCGAGAAGGGCTCTGGCGACACAGGCTGTGTGGGGGACCCAGTGGAGGATGGGGACCATGACGTATGAGCCAAGGTGGTGCGGATGTTACCTGCTGCCCCAGGACACACAGATAATACCCTGCCCGCCTCCCCTGCAGACACCAACGTCCTGCGCTACATCCAGCTGACTCAGCTCAAGATGAACCGCTGCAGCCTCCAGCGGGAAGACAGTGGGGCCGGGCCCGGGACTCGGGATGTCGTTGGCTGAGGCCAACCTGGGGGGGACTGTCCCTATTCCCCCCCACCCCACCTCACTTCACCGTGTAACTTCCCCTGACTCGTGTTCTCTGGTAAAGCACTCGTCACTGGTGACCATAACCTCTTTGTGTGGTATTCTTGTGGGGCCCAGGAGGGGACAAGGGCCTAGGCTACACACCCTGGACTCAGACCGGAGAGGCCTGGGAGGGAGGATGGGGGCTGCTGTGCCACTGGGGATGATCTAGGACCTGGGCCTGGGCCAGGGAAAGACACACAGCCAAACGTGGTAGGGGGCAGGGGTTACCTTTAATGCTGCATTTTGTGCCAAATCCTCTATGACGCCCTGTCCCTGAGTACCCCTGCCCACCCTCCCCCCCACTGCAGGGCAGGCACAGGGCCCCACCCCCTGGGGTACAAAGGAATAAATTAAATGCCCTCCCTCCCCCCTTCCCCAATAAATAGTGAGTATCCTGCCCAGGGCCTCCCCTGCCGTGTGGCATGGTGGGCTGGGGCGGGGCCTGGGGCGCTACATTCATGGCTGCCCAGGCGGGCGGCGGCGGGCAGGCCTCAGCGGGAGCCGTGGGCCCCGCACAGGGGCACTGTGCTGTCCTGGCTCTGCCCCTCCATGTCCATGTCGAGCAGCGTGGGCTGCATGCTGGGGGGCCCCGGGCTCTCTGGAGTGTCTGGCCTGCTGGGAGGCGAGATGCTGAGCGTCTGGCCGAAGGAGACCAATTTCCAGGGGTCCAGGCGGGGACGGCTGGCGGCTGGCCGGGGCCTTGGGGCGAAGGTCAGGGTGGTGGGGCGGCCTGGGAACTCGGGGGGCCGACGACGGGTGGGGAACAGGGCCTGGGGGTCGGGCAGGCGGGGGAAGTCCAGGGCATCTCGAGGGCCTGGTAAGAGAGGATCAAAGGAAGTGAGTGGGGTGGGCCAGAGGGTGGTGTTTAAAAGGCAGGAGCATTTACATGAAGATTGGAATTGGACTTCTCTTGACAAAAAATTCTGATTTTGTTGGGCCTGCTGTCCAGCAAGGTTTGGACCTTTACCTCACCACCCCCACCTGCCCCCCACTCCTAACTGCTCACTGGTCTGGGTGCGACTCTGGGCAGCCCTTTATCTTTCAGAGCCCGTCTCCTTGCTAGTACTCCAGACAAAGCCCTCATCCCTCCCACCTCTCCAACACTGGGCAGGCTCACCAAGACCCACAGAGACACCTTAGGCATGTTGCTGTCTGTGAATGGGGATTTCAGCACCTCGGCTACACAGACGAGGATTGAATACAGTAATTGTAGAATGCGTAGCACGGTGCCTGATAGGAGGTCCTTAGTTCCTTTCTGTTCTAATCATCTTTGTCGTGTTAATAAACTATAGAGAACGGGTACCCAACACATGGTGTTAGCACTAGTGATCGTGGCCATTAACGTCACCTGCCTGGCCCCTGTAGGCATTAAGAGTTCCTACTCCTGCTTCATTCTGCGTCTCAGTTACCCAGGGATCCACAAAGCCTTTTGAAGCGGCGGGGGCCATGGAGACACTATCTCTCCCCACGCTATTAAACAAGAGGACTCCGCGTCCAGGGCGTCCTTGTGGGCTGGGACATAGAGCTTTGGCGGGAGCAAGGGAGATGGGCCCTTTTCTGCGCCCGGAGCACGTGGAGCCTCACTCACCAGGGCCGGGGCCCGTGGGCTCTGGCGCCCCCCGCTGCCCCAGCGCCCCATCCGATGGCGTCCGCCGGTGCCCGCGGCTCACAGCGCGCGCGGCCGTGACGTGGGTGGGCGTGAGCGACTGCCGGGGGTCCTTCTTGAAACTCTCCAGCTCCAGGTCCACCAGGGGGTTGGTGCTGGGTGGGGGCGCGGGTGGGGAGGGTGGCGGGGAGGGCGCGGCCGGCGCAGCCTCGTCGCTGTCGGAGCGCAGCAGCGAACGCGTGGAGTTGCAGTCGGACACCGACGACAGTGACACGAGGGTGGCGGAGGGCGCCAGGCCCGGGCCGGGGGCCGCGTCGTCGCGGCGGCCGGGGGAGCGCCCGGTCGGGCTGAGGCCCCGCGGGAAGCGGCCGCCGCGGGGGAAGAAGAGGCCGTCGAGCCAGCGCCGCTGTTCCTCGCCATCCGCTGCGCGCGCCTCGGCCACATCTGCACCCAGGCCCACGGCGCCCAGCAGCGTGGCGCAGCCCAGCAGCGCGAGCTCGCAACGCCGCCGGGAGCCGTGCCCGGGCCGGGCGGGCGGCGGACTCGGCTCCCATGGCGCCCGCGCCCCCGGGGAGGGCTGGGTGGGAAGCGGCACCGTGAGGTAGGACGGGGTGGTGTAGGGGGACGGGGGCACGCTGTTGCCTCCGTCCGCCTCCGCGAACTCCTCTGCAACCGGGAGAGGGCCGTCACTGGCCTCTGACTCACTTAACTCTGGGCCCCGGGCCCTTTGGCCCATCCCCCCACCCCGGGACTTGGAGGCAAGGGATTGCCCCCAGTGACCGCACCAACAAGATCACCAAGTCCCACTAAGCGTGGTTCTTGAGTATTTCTCCCCCCAACCCCTCTCCCCTTGGAAATGACCCCCACCACCCAGGGACCAGCTGTCTCCCAATTCCAGGAATGCGTCCTACCCTCTGGCCAGTGAAATCCGTCTCCCTCCGTGCAACCCTGGGGAATGGTCACCCCTTGGTCTTGGGTTATGTTCCCCTTTACCAGGGAATGTCCCTCCCCCTCCCTTTTAAAGGCACCCTCACCCTCTTACCCATTTCATTGAGGCTGGCAAAGCCTGGGGCGATGGGTGTATGTTTGGGGGATTTGCCCAGGTTGGGGGCACTTGATGACCACTGTTTGCTTCCTTCTCCCAGGGCCTTCAGCCTGCAGGGGGCACCAAAGATTGGGGGGGCAGTCATAGGAGAGAGGCGCAGGGCGTGGGGGGGGGGGTCCATGCGGCCTGTACCTCTCCTCTCCGCCAGCGCGTTCCTTCTGCAGTGTGGAGCTGGGCCCCCAGGTCCGGCCCTTCTTCTTGCCCCCGACCAGTTCTTCCTTCTTTGGGGGTCCGCTGCTGCGGCCCCACGTCCCACTGCCACCACTGCTGCTGCCACTGGTGCTACAGCCACCACCATCCACGGGGGTCACTGGGCCCAGAGAAGCTACTTGGTCACCGGGTCTCAGCCTGTCCCAGTTGATCTCCAGCCTTACTCTCCCCGCCTTGGTCTCACCCTCCACCTGGAAGCCCAAGGGAGCTGGGATTCTGACTCCAATCACGACCCTTCCCTGCTAGCCATCCTCACATAGCTCCCCGCGGCTGTCAGGACGATGTCCTGGCTTCCTCAGTGTCATCACCTGTCACCCCTCCCCAGTTAACCCTTCAGCCATCCCTTCATTCCCAAATGTTTACTAGCACCGTCTACGTGCCAAGCCCTGTGGGAGGTGCTGAGAAGACAGCAGTAGAGTAGACCAGACACCCTGCCCTGGCCTTGGAAGAATTTACATTTTAGGGGCTGAGGACAGATGATCAACAGGAGTCACCCTAGGTTGTCATCTGGGTCGGGGGCTAGAAGGTGATATGCAGTGTGGGGCATGGAAAGCTGGTAGGGGGCTCGGGGAGTTAGGGATGGTCTGGTGTGTGAGAAGGAGGGATCTGAGCAGAGACTTGAAGGAGGTGAGGGAGGGAGTCAGGTGGAAACAAGGCAAAGGGAAGAGCAGATGCCAAGTCCCTGTGGAGTGTTCCGGAACAGTCTGTCCCCTACAGAGCCGACTGCTCTCTCTCCTCTGTTCCTATCACACATTGAACATCCTGACCACCATGGTTCGTCATTATTTGTCTCTGCGTCCGCCCAGGGGAATGACCTCTGGGTACAAAGCAGGTGCCCAAACAGCAGTGTGTCAGTGGTGGTGTGTGGGGCAAGGCCAGGGGTGAATGATGGAGCAGAATGGACTGGGGAAGCTGACTGGGAATCCTTCACCTCCTCAGCCAACCCTGTACCTCTGCCATGCGGCTGACAGGCCTTCTGCCCCATTCAAGGCCCCCGCCCTGGCCCAGCACCCTCGTCTCACCTGTCTCCCACCTTGACTCCTGCCTGCCTACAATCCCTACTCCTCACGGCAGTCAGAGGGAAAAGGTCAAGTTTACTCCATCCCTGCCTTGCTCACAGTCCTCCAGAGGTTCCCCCTCAGATTTCAGATAAAATCCAGATTCCTTAGCCCCTCTCTTAAGGCCCAGGGCAATCCTCTCCTGGTAAACCCTTGACCATAAACTCATTGCTCTCCCTCCTATTCTTCCTACTTCATCCAAGTTGGCCTTCCCAGCTGATAATCAGCATACTTGTTCCTGCCTCTGGGCTTCCGCCTTTGCTGTTCCCTCTGCCAGGGACACTGTTCCTTCAGATCTCTGCATGTGTCACCCCTCCTGACCATGCAGGTCCCTACTTAAACCTCGGCTTCTCTGACAATCTTTCTTCGTGATTTAAAAACAGCAACCTTTCTGTTTTATTCCCTTCCCTGATTTCCTTTAGAGTGTGTACCACTACAGGAAGTTATCCTGCTCACCAGCTTGTTTACTTGTCTGTTTCCCCCAGTGATAATGAGGGAGGGGATCCTGCCTGCCTGCCCCTCTGATGTTGCTCTGGCTTGGTGCCAGGTATATGCTCAGGGAAGTCTGTTCACTGACTGCTCAGGACCTTGGGAGATACTCACAGCGAATGGCCCTCAGCCGGGGAATGATGCTGGGGCTTGCGGGTGGGCTGGCCCCATCTGATCCTTTCCGCTTGTCCAGGGTTGGAGAGGCCTGGACTGTGATCTTATGTTCAAAGCCTGCAAAAATAAAGAGACTTTCCTAAGCACAGGGTTCCATGAGTAGCCAAAGAGAAGTTCCCTTTGAAGGAAGATAGAAGGAATGCCATCATTTTGCATTCCTTAATGCAGTGGTTCTCAAAGTGTGTTCCCAGACGAGCACCATCAACATTAAGTGGAAACCTCTTGGAAACGCAGATTCTTGATGCCCTCCCTGAATCAGGAACTGTGGGGGTGAGGTGCAGCAACCCAACTGCAGTGTAACAGTACTCAAGTTACCTTTGCTGCTCACTCAGGTTTGAGAGCCGCTGCCCCAAGGATCTAGGCTTGAGTGTCCAATATGGCAGCCGTTAGCCACACATGGAA